TGGTGAAGAAGATTCCCAAGAAGCCTCTGCCGCCGGAGCAATTTGGTCGCTCCTCGCCACGCACCTCCATGAGGGTCCAGTCCAGCCAGTCCATGAGGAGGCCGAGCCGACCGCTCCCCACCAGCAAAAGCAGGTATGAAATCAAAGGTTTCTTCTTTTAGTTCAAGAAAGTGTCCAAGGATGAAATATAGTAGTTTTTTTTTGTTTTTTTTAATTGCTTCCATTAACTTAGTGAAAAACATAACCTTGAAGATTCTGTGTTCATGTTTGTTCGATGCACGGCTGGGATCGCCCACTGCATGACAGCATTCTTACACGTCATCATATTAAAGGTAATGATAGAAACTGATGTCCCCCTTTCAGACTGGAGGAGTTCAGTCTTCAGGACTGGCTCTGGGCGTTGGATGATATTGATGAGGATTGTTTCTCCATACATTTCTGATGATGGTAACACTGTGTTTCTCTGTGTGTGTGTGTGGGTGTGTTTTGCTGTGTTTGCAGTGCAGTGGCTGCATTTAAAGATATTGCAGGGATATCCAACTCCAGTCTTCCAGAGCTACTGGGCTACAACTTTTCCATGTATTCTTGTCCAACACACCTGGATCAAATGGTTTGATCAACTCTTCAGCGCCAGAAAGTTTAGTAGAGCTCTGGTAACGAACTAGTCATTTAAATCAGGTGTGTTGGAACAGAAATGCATCTAAAAGCTGCCTTTGTCAGCCTTAGTTGCATTATTGTAGGCGACCGTCAGACGGTGCAGCCCCTGCATTTGGACACGTCCCTACTTTCAATTTACTGTCAGAGTTAAACTGCATTTTCAACTTCTCCAGATATTTCAAAGAGGTTGTGATGATGTTATGTACTCTGCCCAGAGCCATAGGAAGAGAACCAGACACACAGCATCACTGATCCTCCACCTGGCTTAGCAATAAGCATGGGGGACTTTTCTATATATTCATTCTTTGCTTTCACAGCAGACCCACCAGGAAAGCGTTTTCCAAAAGCTGTATCTCAGATCAGATGATTCCAGTGCTCCACTCGGTTCTTTTGCAGTGAGATTTGTTTTTTCATGTCACTCGTCCGCACTCTGCGTAGGATGATGGAACTAGGTCACCGTGCAGCCTTGTTTGTCTCAGTTCTTCTAAATTAAATTATTACTCTGAGTTCATTAATATGCTATTTTATTATCATCATTTCCTGATTCATGCAGAATAACATTCACCTACTTTCCTTGAATGGTATGTTCTCTTGTTTTTCCCATTTTAAAAGTGGCTAGGAGAACATGTATTCATGCCCTATGAAAACGGCAAGATTTTGAGTGACTTATTAAAAGTTTCTCCACAGAAAAAGGATAAATTTAAGTGAATATTAGAATTGGGCACATTTGAATTGTCCACATTCAAGATGTTACGCTATGCTGTCAGAGTGAAAAATCTAACTTATAGACTGAATTTGGTTTGATCTTTTATAGAACCACTGAACACTGATTAGTGTATTTAATTACCCCAGATTATTTAGTCAACTATTTACATTAATTTTACTTCAATTTGGCCACAAACAAAAGTGTCCAGATTGAAAGTTTTTTTTTTTTTTTCAATCTGGACACTGGATACCAACATTCACGGCTGTAAATGAGTCTGGAGGATTTTCTTGCAGAAGCTGTGCTTTTTTTTTTTTTTTTTTTATTCTTTAGATCTCTTGTCAGTCCTCAGTCTGAAGGACCATGTATTTAATGTAATTGCTGTGTTTTCTATTTCAGGTTTTATACACCTAGCTATCTGTTTTCTTGTAGGTTTTTTTGTGAAATAGCTAGCTACCCTAGCTTCTTGTATTTTGTTAAATTTCTGTCTCCCTAGTTTATTTTCTCTGGACTCTTTTGGTCTGATTTGTACTCTGTTATTTCTTGCTAAATTTGATGGGCTAACATTTGTTGTTGATCAAAAACATGTTTCAGCTCCTATGACATGAGCCGCAGATCAAATGGGTTAAAAACGAAGCAAGTCGACTCCTGCAGCACTTGGTACAGCTGAGTCCTCCTCTGATCTTGTTCTCCGTGTAAACGACCGAGTTCCTGGATGCGTTTGTGTACGTGTCTGTCTTGTTGTCACTCAGCGGTGCTGTCGGGCCACATGCAGGGGGTGAATACACATGGTTCAATTTCCTCTGTGGTGTTTGGGAAATTATTTACCTGATAGGATCAATGTCACTGGGTGTCTTGTCACTGGATTGTTTATGACTTTCTGTCTTCTAATATACAGCTCTGGAAAAAATTAAGAGAGCACTGCACTGAACCCCATTGAAAACCTCATGGTTATTCTACCAAATATTGATTTCTGAATTCCTCCCGAGTTAAAACATTAGTATTATTGTTTCTAAATGAATATAAACTTGTTTTCTTTGCATTATTTGAGGTCTGAAAGCACTCTCATTTTCTGCAAATAAATACAAAATTTTTGCTTGGAAATTCGGAGATGTCGTGTTGTCAGTAGTTCATAGAATATAAAAACAATATTCATTCTACTCTATCATATGCCTATAAAAAGTAAAATCAGGGAAACTGATAATTTTAAGTGGTCTCTTAATTTTTCCCGAGCTGTATGTAGAATCTCTGGGAGAGTTTGTTCCTTAAAATAAATACTTGCATCATTAACGCAACACAACAGACGCTTAAATATGCCTTGAAGGTCTGGATGCTGTATTCACTTTGGACTTTTAACGATGTATTTGAACCATTTGGTTCCTATTTGAAACGATTTACCTTCATACAACTGTAAAGATTTTTAAAGCAAGACTTGGGAGCACAGATTTCAATATATTGTGGATTTTTGTCTTCAGAATGTTCTCAAATAAACATCAGAACCAGATTTAGCTTGGAAGAGGCAGGCGAACAATACATTTTGGCAATCTTCAGACTCTGAAAGAAAACCAACTAGCTTTAATCAATTCTGCTAAAAGAGTTATCAAATGTTCAGAGTTGTGCATAAAAAGCAATAAATTCAAACTTGTGCCTTCAGTTCTTCTTCTTAAATCCTTATTGTTGAAATTAGCGTATGTTTTTGCAGCACTTAACTTTTTGTCCATCTGTCTCTTTGCCTCCAGTTAACCCTGCTGGATGGGTCTCTGGGGCGGTGTTTCCTTCGAAGCTCCATCTGCAGATCTGGAACTCCATGTCAATTCGCCTCCTGCTTCATCCTGGGAGGAAAATCTCTCCACTCTCCTTGTCGCTCAGCTCCTTTCAGCCACTTCACAGCTACCGAGCTTGACTGCGCTCTTTTCTGCGAGCTGGTTGGCTTGTGAACAAAGTCTGTCGTGCTTCTGGAGTAGCTCCTTCTGTTTCCAGAGGAAGCAGAAGAGCTCTTTGGAGAGGCTGCATGGATGGATGGGGATTCAATTACCTCAATGATTCTCACCAGGAAACAGTCTAATGGAGGGGACATGCAGGAAACTCCTGCACATCACCTTTGGAGGTTCTAGTGGCCAAAAATGAGACATTCTGCTAAAAGAAACTGTGAACAGTTCGAAGAGTTTTAAGGGGAACACGACACTTGGTTGATTCAGTAGTTTTTTGTTTTTTTTCCCTCCCAAATGACTTGTTCTCTCAACACAATGATTGTAGCTTTTAGCTTTCCACAGCTCTGGTTTCAGGTGAGTCACAGGATCCGATTAAGGTACAACAAGCTGTTAGTTCACGTAAAGTCACAGAGTAGGGGAACGCAGTGAATCCTTATTTTGCAGTAAATGATTCTCTGGTCGCCTCAGACTTATTATGATTTCTGTCACTGAAACACTCGTTTTGTCTGCAGTAGACGTTACAACGTGAGCAGCATCCTGCTCTGAAGGCATTAAAAGGAACAAACCTGCACTGTCCGACCCGAGGGATAATGTTTACCTAAATGCACCGATCATATTTTCCTCCTTTTGTTTGCGTTTGAAGGTAGAGGTGGTGCTCCACCAGAGGCGGCACCCAGGCATCGTATTACCAAATATACTTGACTGAAGCTTTTTATTTTACCGCCAGCTGCTTTGGAGTGAACTTGCATGTTTCTCACGCGCCGTCACCCCTTCCAGGTTGTTTTTTGAAAGCAGCGGTGACGATGAAGGTATGCAAAACCTCGTCCTGAGCAGCACTTAGTCCACTGAAGGTTTGTTCCGATGTTTTGGTGTCAAGAGTGACCGAACTCCCAAGTTTGGACACGTCGTCGTGTGAATGTGGCTCGTACAGGCGCCTGGAGAGCAAACTGTGTGTGTTTTGTGGAATTTTGTGTTTTGTGTTCCAACAGCTCTCCTTTAACCACGAAGCATGTTTTATACATATAAATATCTACAGTATATATTTTACATGCCATACTGTGCACATTATATTATTTATACAGCCTTGTCCACTTTGTATTTAAGGGCCTTTACATCCAGATTGCATGTTTGCTACCAAACAGCTAGAATGATGATGATTATATTAACTTCTTATAGAAATAAAGACATGGATGTGCCCTTTGGTTTCACATGTTTTTTAAATGTCAAAAAAAAAAAAAAATAAACGCTTTAAAGAATTTCAGTGAAATCACAATATAAAAATGTTTGTCAAATGTTTTGGTTTATTTAGGCGTTACAGAAAAAACTTCACAAAGTACAAAAGTTATTAAAAACACAGTATTTATCATCCCGAGTTGGAAGATTTTGGATATTTGCAAACTGTCATCATCTTTGACAGAAAAATCCTCACTAATGTTTAAAAATGGAATTTAAAAAAAATAAAAGTAGATTCAGGAGAAATGTACTAAAAAATACTGGGACAAAGCATTGTTATTGGAATGTTTGGTAAAACATAATTATTTAAAAAAAAATACACCCTCTTTCAATTCTTTATATAAATAATAATAATAAAGATCTGTAATTGATTAGGTTGTAAAATTATTCAAAAGTGAGCTCAGATATACTTTCATGAGTTACTGACAAATCAAACCTACAATTAATTAGCATTTTATGTCTAAGTTTTCTTGGGGGGTTTTTAAAGCTTGCCTGTTTAAGCACATTGTATTTCTGATACTGTTTGTTTCTCTGATCAATTCAAAGTAACTCAGCGACCTCCTGCAGGTAAACTTTAGTCAAACACATTTTTTACAGTAAGCTGTGAGGATTAAAGACACCAACAGTCGCATCTGTTTTTTGTTTTTGTTTTTTTACATTCAAGATTACGTTTAAACTACTTTAGTACCTTAAAAAAAATTTCAGAACATTTATGAAATCCTCTTAAGTAAAAACTAGAAATGAAACGGGGTGTACTTTCTTTTTAACAGTAGTAACGGTTACCCTTAGATTGTTTCCGTATTTCTTGTGCCTGTGGTGACCCAGTAAGCGTTGAAGAAGAAACCACTAGATTAGTCATCTTTCTTGGAGCTGCTGCTTCTTCTTCGTTGGTAATAGATCACAGTGAGCAGCACCCAGAAGTTGAGCAGAGTCATCGCCACAAACCGCACCAGAACTGCGAGAAACAAGAAGGTGATTTAGAAACCAGGATTACCTTTAATTTAAACCGATTTGTAGCTATCAACTGGCTTTAGAAATCAAAACGTGGTTGCTGGCTGTCTGATAAGGAGCTATACGCTTGCATTTTAAGATGTTTTGCAGGAACACCATTCCAAACCAGCATTGAAATTTAGTTTTTAATTATTTTTAGCTTCATATTTTTTTAAAATACCCTTTCTGGTTATATGTTTTTGAACAATAGATAAAGATTTATTCTTGGAAAATATAATCTTAGAAGATGGCATTGTTGAGCACCTTCTCACTTTCTTTAACCTTTGTTTCTCTATTCAATTCCTTGGTTCAGTATACAATTTTTCTGGCACTGATCAAAATTCAATTTTTTTCAGTTAATTTTTTTTCTAAAATGGGAAACGACGCTAAACAAGACAGGATTTTAATACGTTTTTCACTTAAAATTTCTACACATTTGCAGACTGAAATTTCCAGATATCTTGGTCAGTTTTCATGTCTTTTATCATAAAACAAAGACAATACATTGTAGTTCAGCTTCATGCATCTCTTAGCATTACAAAATCAACAATATGTAAATGTATGTTCGACACAATGCAGCTCCTTCCCTCACTTAATTTCCTGAAGGCTGCACACATTTCCAAGTTCAGCATGATCATTAGACGTGCTAAAAGCACAGAGGGACAGAACTGAGCTTCTTATGCCATTTTGTTCAACGTTCCTTTTATCTACTGAAAGTATTGTTCTCTCTTGCAGACCGAATAATTGGCAAAAGACGGTCAGTGTTATCTGCTGCTGGTGATTTATTAATGATTCATGACTTCCTAACAAAGTCCCAGAGAAAATCTAACCAACTTGAAGTTCAAGATGACATGATAATTTTCATCTTCTAAATCTCTCTTGCCTTCATTAAACATGGAGACGTCCAGAACTGCCTTTTTATGAGGTTTGACTCCCAGAGTGCACCACGCTTCCACACTACTGCTACAGTGGGAGGCGTTTAGAGAACAAAACAAAATGTTTCTGCCGTGTGCCATTTCACGCTGGCTTACCCTGCATGTCTCCGGTCGTCACCGACGTGGTGTAAATCCGCGCTGGAACAAAAGAGGAAGCGGAGTTAATGACATGCACATTATCCAACCGCACTCTCTCATGTTTAATTAATGACGTGTTGAATTGCTGATTTGCTGAACGCGTAGCAAACTGAAGGGGGATTATCCATATTCATGACATGAAAGTGATTTAAGTGGAAGAATTAGTTGGAACTGATGAGCTGTTGAAGCTAATTAAATTTAAGTCGGAAATGAGAGACTGCAATTAAAAATGCGGAAATCCGACTTTGGTTAGTTTATTTAATCTTATAATTTACCTGTTTGGGTTTACTGCTTCTATGTGGGGTATTTTACCTCATTGTTTGTATCCCAATATAACCAGGAGACGGTTGGGGGGAAAAATGGGATGGGATTCTCCTAACTTATTTTGAGGAACCAATCAGAGGTGGTTAATGATGATGTCATTTAAAAAAAAAACAATGAATACTTGATTATGATGTTTGTTTAAAATCCTTTCAGATGTCTAAAAAACCTTT